ATTATTATTTTACTTTGATTTTGTATTTTTTTTAATTCCGCCCTACATACATCTGATCCGACGCCTATGTAAGTCCCGTTCAAATCTTGTGCAAGTAACAGCTAATCACAGCCCTCCTTTTATACAGGCTGTCGGTTGCTTACTTTTCAGTGTAGCGATACTCTACGGGAAATCTTTCTGTACATTATATTTTGCCCACTTGAATAAACCATTAACAGAAAATTACTAGTATATTTTTATTTACAAATGAGATTCCACAGCATTTTACAATTTTTGTCATTGAATATTGTTTTCACTTCCATCAAATATGTACACTTCCTGATACATCTTCGCCAGCCAAGGTTCGTTTATTCAGTCATCGCTTCAATTTTACATCAAACACTGAGCATAATTATCTAGAATGGAAGCAAAAAAATAAGTAAATCGTAATGATTAGAACACTGTAAACAGCTATAGTAAACAATGCAAACTGATTTTAAATTGTATAGCGGTCACCGGCCCACGGCATCGACGCAGAAAATTGGAGCAAAAAATATTTCCTGATCAATTGCGATGTGTTTCAAATTAAAAATATTTTATTCCAGTCCAAATCAGCTCAATTACTTTAATAAAGAGTTATTGTATAATGTACAAAATGTTGATACATTTTGATGAATATTTACAGCTACGATTTTGGCCCGATCGTCAACAAAACATCACCCATCTCCAGGGCAAGCGACTGGAAAAAGACACTGGTGGGAACAAAATCGTCACTCCCAGAATAACTACATGTACGCAACATAACAATCTTAACTTGAACCATTCGAGCTACAATATTAACATAAAAATGACTTTCGTTGCATTTGACAATGTTAAACTTACCGAAAAGCCGTGTTATTCTCGGTCGCTAACGTCGGTATAATTCGCCATTTTATTTGAGTGTGTTTGCCACCTGACGTCATCATGTGCGCTATAGAAGGTCTGTGATTCGTTGACTAAAATCGTCGATAGTGGGTCTCGTTGAAATCTCGTTACATAGGCATCTGGTCAGATGTAGGTAGGGCGGAATTAAAGAAAAAATTTCAAAATCAAAGTAAAATAATAAAATAAAAAGGCATTAATAACAAAAGTAATAAAAAATAAATTAAAATAAGTTTATAGCCAAAATAATTAAAGCCTGTACACTACATCAGATTGGCAAATGATATGCAAATTATGTACCTCTTGTACAAATAACTGATCGATTTCAATGAAACTGGGTACATAGACAGATGGGTATGAAGCAAGACCTCATAAGGTTTTTCTCTATTGTTGAATAATTTTGGTCATCAAGTCTTTTATATTTTATTCTTGCCTGTGGTGAATGCAGTAATTTGCATTTTGGATTGGGAGTTGTTGCAGTTTAGTCTGTGTGGTTAGGTGTCTGTATTTATGGATGTCTATATGTGTGTCTGTTCTCAATATCTCAAGAACCAATCACTATTTTAATGAAACTTGAGATATACATGCTTTGGGATAATATTTCAATAAAACTTATTCCCTCCTTCCAGTGAGAGGACATTGGCCTAATCCTTATTCTTACTGTCTGTCTGTTTCCTGGGGACAGTTGAAATTTATGATGTAATGCAATAATACTTTTTATGCTAGTATGAGAGAATTTGATGCATACGCTGCAGGCCATGTGGTTTTAATACAAAAAGTGTTCTAATGGCAGCCATTTTGTTTTACTTGACATCACATATTGTAACTGGTGTGGTCTAAGGCTAGCAGTGTCATTTATATAAACCAGTGAGGTGCAACTCTGCCAAGATATTTATCTTTAATTATTAATCCCAGAAAATTAATAATTATTCCTAGAATGTGCCATACTATGTACACACAACACTCAGTCTAATGAACTTTGGTTCTTTTTTCACAGATCATGTTTTCTTCATTTGCCTGCCCAAGCTGTACAGTCACGATTAGCCAATGTTAAGCCAACAAAATCAGTGAGTACCAAAAAACCAGTATATTTTCCGCAATGCTGGTAGAATGCAATGACATTCGGTATTACAACAATAAAAAATCCATGGCCTGAGAGAATTTGAGTCTGGTAATAAAAACCTATTTATGTAGTATATATATATAGAAATAAATAAGTATAATATATTTTAATGATCTAGTACACAATAAATGTGCTTCTAAGAGCATATGTTGAGGCTGTATTTCATAAGATTAAAATTTGCAAATTGGGAATTGGCTAACTGCTTGGGTTTTGAATAAACAGTTTTTGAATCTTGTGTACACTGACTTGTGGCAACTCTGGGCGATTTCTATATTACAGTACCATATCATCGTTTGACAATGAGCTGTTATCATCGTAAAATATGTTAAATTCTTTTACAATGCTCAGTTAATCTAAAAAATCGCACTAAAACATTGGTAAATCTCTCCCGTGTTGCATTCACCATGAAGTCGCTGAACTGTCATTAACATATTTAAATGAGCTATGGTAATTCAAACACGTTGGCACCACCTAGCATTTTGATTGGTTAATTAGCGACTTGACCAATCAGATCATGGAACACATTTTCAGGTCACTCACATATGCATGGCAAACATGGTGTAACTGAGTTGAATTTTAGGAATTAATTCTTTCTGTTAATTTAATCACTACTGACTAAAAATCAACAATCAAAATTAACTTCGAAAACAAGTAAGTTATTCACTTGTGAAACGTAGTATGACCAGATTGCTACGGCACTGCACCGTACCGTACCATACCGTACCGCACCATGATCGTTTGCTACTAAAGCAATGTATTCATTTTTATTTGAAACATCTTTTAAAATATACTTTTCGTTACCAACAAAACTATAAAAATAAATGCATATTACATTAAGTATTTTTTTTTTTATCATGGAACAGTTTTTTTGATTGGCTGTAATTTTTCAACATTTCAGGACCCTATTTTAGTACCAAATTAAGGCCTTTCACTCTTCCCCAACACCTAAATTGGGTTACACCTATTCAAGTGATTATACAGTATACATGTGGTTGTATGTTCTATTTTTTTCAAATTATATACTAAGATTGAAAGTAAATGTGGTCGCCCAACTGTATTTTAATGCAATATATTGTCCTCCTCTCCAGTTTGAACAGGGTTACACCAGAGAACATCCTTATTAATCCCAAAATGGGGACTTATGTTTTGATCTTTGTGCATCCGTGCTTCCATGTGTGCGTGCATCCTAACCTGTATCTTAGAATAGCCTGGACCAATCACATTCAAACTTCACACATACATCATACATGGTATTATACATATGCACATCAATTTGTTTCACAATCTAATTCAAGATGGCGGAATGGCGGCCATTTTTGTACTGAAAAATCATCAAAATTAAGCATTTCTTGACTGTTTACAAATGGATTTTGTTCAAACTTGGTACATACATTAGATACATTGCGGGTTCCTGATGCACCTCATTTTGTTTTTCAGATTGGTTGCAAAATGGCTGACTGGTGGCCATTTTGTTTTAATGAATGGTCTTCTATAGAGCCAAATCTCTGACATGCTTTGACTGAATATGTTCAATTTTATATATTCATGTATAGATATATACATGTATTCACAATGACTGATTTTGTTTCAATTAATGCTATTCCAAAGCAATACATGTATCTCTCAATAAGGACAAGTACTTGTTTGATGATCAGATACAAATGTCAATCATTTTAATGTTAAACAATCATCATAGTCATATTCCTCACATGTTTATGTTCCAGTTATATTACTATAAACAAAACTATATATCTTAAATTCTTAAATTTGATAACTAACTGGTACTGCGCCATGCATGGCTTGTTATTATTACTTTTTGTTGGAATTTATATGATCAAAGGTTCCTTCGCTGAGCAAAACCGCCTCAACTCTATTATGAAAATAGTAAAAGGTCGTCAGACTTTAAGGAGCTAATTAGCGATGGCTTTACAGTTGGATACAGTTCGGCTCAAATATGTGGAAGTTGTTCTATGTTCTTCATGCAATGAGGTTACGTATGCAAGGGATTTTTCATGCAAAAAACGACAAATGCGGTCAAATGTTATTAACAGTTGGCTTAATGTTGCCCCAACAGATTGTTCGGCTGAAAGTTTAATTTTATCTCTGTTTTGTAGGTATCTGAAAAACATGTTTCTCAACTTGTTTTAATATTTACTTTCAAGCCTGCCCCATGTAGAAAATATCGGTGAATTAATCACATTGTACTTGAATGTAGTTCTGATAGAATCACATTTTTCATTAAAAAATGGGGTGAACAGATTTTTTTACTCTTATTTGGCTAACAATTTAATATTTAATTAACTCTTTTTACATTATCAGGTCTCGCCTTTTAAATTGGTTATTCCAGACATGAGTGTGTCTGGCTATAAAGTATTCTATGTCCCCTACTGTAATATAGACTTGCCCTGAGTGTCATGGCCGCAAAGTCAACTGTCAAAATGCAAGCAGTTGGACAAGTGACAGCCCCAATAATTCTGTGACTTGCTGTAAGCAATATTTTTATGCACTAGATGATGCAAAGTTGTCTATTTTCAATCTTCTTATGGCTAAAAATAGATTAGGCCACAAATGGTGCTTGCACTCATGGTATTGAGAGAAATCATCATAGTGGTGACAGCAACATGCACATGTTCTGTGCCAACCTGTTCTCTCTACTGTATTTAATTATTCACTGGGATTTAATATGGCTGATCAGTAAAATATCAGTATAATTGAATAAACTTTGACATTTATAATTACAGTAGAACTGAAAATATGTTAATTTAAAACCCAGTGAATATTATCAAATGTCTAAATAGTGAATTTAAATACCATTGATAATATTAACGTTTGTACAATATTTTCTTTGGATTACATTACATACTGGTTCTACGATGTAATAGTAACTGAGTGTTACTGATGTCCTTTCAATTTTTATTTTCAGGGATGGACACGAGCAACCAGAGACCGTATCTTGGAACTTTGCAAAGATAAGCCACTTGTTGCCCTGATCACTGGTATTAAGGTAAATAATTGTGACAATTATTGTATGTTTGCACTATTAGTTGTGCATATGCTTATGTCAAATACTTACTTAGGTGTTTAATGTTTTTTTTTTTACTTTTTGGGCCAAATGAACCCATCTCTGAAGCCAATAGTGATGGAAGATGACTGCATGCTTAGTATTTCACACTAGTCTTTGACTGTCGCTGTCATTGTAATCAAGACAAGCATATTTCTATTTATTCTTCATTTTCAAATATATGTGGACAAATTTCCTGTTAACCCTTATCTTGTCAAGTCTGTGTAAAAGTACATAGGGCTTGCAAAATAAGGATTTAAATGCAAAGTAATTGGCATTTTATTCCTGTAAAGATCTATCATCATATATAGACATTGTGTGGTCCACTGTAGAATGTTCAATTAAATGATACTATTAATGACTTTTAAAAATGTAATTATTTTGTTCATTCCAATAGAATGAAATAATTTCAATGTGTCTGTGTGATACAAGCGGTGAAACAGACGTGCATATCAATGACTTGCTTGTTGCTGAGGGCTTAGCTATTTTCTGTCCTGAAAAACCTCTTGAGAATACAGAAGACGAGTCACAGGTAAATATTCAATTACCTCAATGAAGACAAAAATGATGAGCTTTTTAATCATAGTTTAACATCAATAGTAATCGTTGAGCTGCTATTGTGATGTAAATTGCTAGTCAATTTATGCATGTTGTGATTGTACCACTGAAAAATTGTTCTTCTCTGATTTTTTTTGGTGTGTCATCTGTGTCAGTTTGTAACGGTTATTGCAGAAAATGTGGGCACTGAAATCATAGCATATACGCTCGATACCAACATTGTATATTAAATCATTTACAAGTGAAAAAGAGATGGCCACAAGGTTGCATCCAGGTCTCTATTTAAATCCAATTTTGTCAAGCGAATCTCTGCGAACTTGACCCTTAGTTCTTGAATCACATTTTATGTGCTATTGGTGATATGTTGGGTCACTTTGACCATGCAATTGTGTCTAAAGCAATCAAGATGACTGAGTTTCATAAATTTGTTTGTGTTGTATTTATAGGAACCGCTGAAAGCACCGACTGAACCTGTAGAGGATTCTACCAGCGTGAATCTAAATGATAGTCAGACTGATGCCATGCCAGCGTGGACCACTGTCTACAATGAAGAGAATGAATATTCATTAACAAAAGAAGATATTGAGTTAATGGAGCAAATGAACCAGGAGATAGAAGGTACTACAAGTATTGTATCAAATGAAGACATACATGAAGAAGTTAAAGGACCACAATTTGTGAAAAAGTGAGTGATTCTGTTTGTTGAACTCAACTTCATAGTCTCCAAATGTCTGTTGTTCACACTCATTATATTGTATTTGAGATGGGTCTCTTGTGATGCATACTGTAAAGGGGGTAATTATTCACTGGGTTTTAATTTAGCTTATTTCGCTGACTGGAAAAATGCGCTAAATTAAAACACAGTGAATATGTAAAATTTAGCATAGAACACATTATCTTAATGACGAAACCGTGAATTTAAAACCCACTGAATATGCCTGAAATGGTAAATCAGTGAAATTTAAACCCAGTGAATATTAGTCATTTTACAGTATTTGTCTCACACTATGGGGTTAGCCCATCATCAGGATGATTGTTCGTTCAACTCCTATGGTACACTGCACACTCAGCTGTGCAAAATGACCACCGTTAAAGTCCTAATATAAACCGCATCTGTATTACGAACCGCACCCCAATTTCTCACTTTATGAATCTAGAGGCCTTAAGAAAAACTAGAAAATTACATATTACTAACCGAAAATTGTTTTTTTTTTTTTTTTTTCACTTGCGTACATGTGTCAAACCTATTTTTATGTCCAAGTGTTAAAATGTCAAAATTGAACATCAATACAAACGAAAGTGTTATAATTCACTATGCTCGATTACCCACAATAAGACTCCGGTCAGTCAAAATGACTATTTTGAACTGTAGGCATTATCAGCGATTCTGCCAATGACGGAGAGATAGAATCTAGGTCAGGGGAAGTCCCATGACCCCAAAGATTCTTTTCTCTTACGTCACGAACGACGTGACCGAGGCCATATGGCGGCGCAATGCGGCTGGCTAATCACTCTGATTTTTTCCCACCTCGAAGCTCTGCCTGGATCACTTGGGTTTCTAACTTGGGTTGTTGCCGCTGGGCGGCATCTGACATTGTAGCTGGTAGGATAAGTTTTTCTTGTCATTTTTACCCTCGTGTCGTTTTTCCCCTTTGTGTGTATCATTTTCCACAACAAAAAAATAAAACCCAGGCGTCATAGCTTAATCACTTGTTGATTGTGTTATGCTTGATCTACGTATTTAGAAATAAATAGATGTAATGACAGCTCCATGACTCGCTGCCGTTTTTTGGTCTCCTCGTTTTTGAGTCGTCTGTGCAGTGGCTATATTCAGAATTTACCAGCATAGAACCTGCATCCGATATGCTTTTTGCCGTGGCTGCGTGTGAGGTTCGAGGTCTTTGCCTTGAAGGCGTGTGTTTTTCACTGGAGTTCTGAGGCCTAAGATTTTTTTTCAGAGCCATCAAAATCACTGAGACCGACTGCGTCGCTCGTATTTTCACAGTCCAGTAAAAATCAATTAAAGTGAGTTGCGTGCTGGGCATGAGTGGAAAGTCCTCACACTCGGCTACCCGATTTTACCAGCTACAGCGAGGCTGTGCTCCTGGAGGTTTTTTCCTTATGGGGCCCATGGTGGGTTCTTTTGTGAATCCTTCCCCGCACGGCGCCGGGTTTGCCTACGAGTTAAGGGCTTTGGTCGGACTGTTGGGGCAAATTGCTTCCTTGGCAGGCCGGGTAGATCAGACTCAGTCGGAGCGAGCTGTCTCCACTGTGGCCCCCTGGTGGGCAAGCTAGAAGAAACATGAAAGTATCGTTTGCATTCAAACACATCTCTTCCAGGGACCCCCCTCCCCGTTCCCATGCAGCCGCGGCTCTCCCACTAATTTGGGTCAGGCCGAGGCTCAGGCAAATTGCACCGGGCCTCCTCTGGAGCCTCGGGCCTTGAATGCCAACGGGGTGCTGGTGGCTAAGCCTCCGATTTTGGAGCAGGGCTTTCAGGGCAGGGCACACGTTGCACCCACCTACTTTCAGCCAGCCAGGGTTTGTCGCGCGAATTTACCCTTGTGCCTGGTCTCTGCTGCGGGTTTTGACACTCTTCTTACCGACCCACCGGCGTCCCCAGCAGGAACCGACCCTGTCATGAGACGCACAGTCGAACACGCTCTCTCTCTCTCATATTTAAAGAGAAAAGGAGTCACAGTTCGCTCGTGTAGGATATAGCCGATACCTCGGGTGGTCCCTCGGAGTCTTCCAACTGTAACGACTCTGTGAGCCACGTCTTTGAAGTGATACAGAGTTTCATCGATCCTAGTGATACGATGTAAATACTCCCACCCCTGATTCCAAGGCGACCGCTTACAGTTGCTTCAACGCTTATGGGATCACGGGTGCTGGGATCCAAAGCAACTCTGTCGGCACGTCTTTCCCTGTCCGTCCGAGTGTGGAGTGGGACGCAGGGCGTGCAAACGATGTTGATGGGCGGACATTGGTCAGCCACGGAGGAGGTAACGCTTAAGGCCCCTCGGTAGTCTACCCCGGCAGCGGGGGAAGCGTGTTTAGTGCTTACCTCTGCAACCGGGGGTACAGACTTGTGTATGGCGAGTGGCCAGGTCACAACTTAGTGACTACTTCAGGCCTTGGGGAAACTCACCTCATGGTAGAAGAGAGCAACCCCCCCCCTCCTCCCCCGCAACTGCTGAATCCATGGCCACATATCCCTGTCGTACACAGATTGCGCCGGTGTAGTCCGGTTTTAAGACAGCGGGTGACCAGGTCCAGGCTTCTACGCAAATGTGTTCGTAGTACCAAATCTACATGTGGCGGGCATCCAGTTCTGGACCTAGACAGACTGAATCAGTACGTGCTCCTTGATCGGTTCCACATGGAGACTCCATTCAGGGTTCTTCTCTCCATCAACCGTTTTGACTGGCTAGCCCCACTAAACTTAAGCGTTGCTCAACTGCACATACTGATGCACCCAGCAAGTTGCCTTCTTTGAATCACCCAGCTGGGCCAAGTATTTTAATTTTCGAGACTGCAGAGTCCTGCACCGCACAGGCAATGCAGCGGTAGTCTCTTTCACGAAGGGGGGGGGGGGGTTGACGTGTTCCCCACCGTTGTCAGTCCTAGCGGAGCAAATCCTTCTTTGGTGCCTGGAATACAATGTGGAGCTAACCGCACACCACCTTCCAGGGGTGAGGAACAGTCTGGCAGATGCCCTTTCAGGGCGGCCCCGTCTCTAGAACACGGAGTGGCTGGTACCCCAGTGGGTAGCCTTCAGGCTGTTTCGGCTGTGGGACGGTCCAAGGTTAGACCAGTTTGCCGCACCCTGGAACGACAAGCCGCCGACGTATGTAACACCTCCGACTCCAGGAGCCTGGGCCAGGGTCACTTTGCTAACCCCGTGGACCCACTTAGTTGTGTACGCCTTTCCTCACTTCCCGCTAGTTCATCGGGCACCGGAGAAAACTTTGACAGGTGCACACCTGCATATTATCATTGGTCGCACCCAATTGGCCAAGCAAATTGGAAATGCTAGTCGAAACACCAGTTGTGTTTCCACACTTATCGGACTACCGACGAGCCCAGCGGGGGTATCACATGCATAGAGGCTCTCAGTAGACTCGCACATACAAAAGCTTTATCTGAGTGGGCTGCCAATGTCCTGGCCAGAGCGAACAGGGATTCAACCAACGCGGCCTACATTTCTAGATTGCGAGCATACACTAGTTGGTGTAGCGGAAGGGAGATTGATCCATACCCATCCCCCTATTGGCCAGGTAGCAGGCTCTTTCGTCAACCTGTTTGACGAAGTAATAGTCTTCCTACTGGACCTCGCCTCAGGTAGGCGTCAGCCAGAGCTGGGGGCATTGTCCTTCTTGAATGATGTACCGTCGTTATGGACAATCAAGTTGTGCTAAAGACACGAACCGGGTTTCTTGCCACGAACCAAATCCCAGGACACGATCCTCACCCGATCGTCATCCCCCGGCTGTCAATCTTTGTCTGCCCGGAGGGTCAGGAGGAATTGCTTGTCTGCTCGGTTCGAGCACGGAGTTTCTACCAAACCGTACTAAGGATTCGGGACGGGGTGCCAGGCACATGTCTTTGTGTTACGGCCCAGGCAGGCAGGATAAGCCGGCCTCCCCAACTTCCATAACCAGGTGGTTTACTGCGAATGTATTAGTGGTCACCGAATCCATTGAGGAGGGTCTCTTTAGGTTGGATCCCATCGTAGCGGGTCAGACTTGGTTTGCTGACCCAGCCCGAATGACCACAAGGGTTCCTGCACATAGGCAATAAGTCAGTCTCTGCATTTTTTGCGGACAGATTTCTCTACCATCAGCACTCCCTGGGGGCTCCCAGGTCCCACTTTTCGGCCTATGCCCTCATGCAGAACTGTTTTGATCTTTACTTCGAAAGCTTACCACCCCCAGAATTGGGTTTGGACCTAGCTTTCTCCAGCACACCGAACCCAGTCACCGTAGCAGCATTTTGGCTTCTTGCTCCGGCTGTAGTCTGACTCTGCCTACAGTTCAAAATAGTCATTTTGACCTACCGAAGTCTATGGTGGGTAATTGAACGTAGTGAATTTAGGCAAAGGGTTCTGCGAACCCACCTACAGTACTCATTTCGCCCAGCCTCCCGCCCGCTTCCGGATTTCGATCGCTTTTTTTTCGCTCGCTTTGTTCAATTCGACCGCGCAATTTCCGCTTTTTTTTCGACCGCGCAAATCCGGAAGTATCCGCTCGCGCAATCGTTCGCTAGCTCGCTCGCTCGCTCGCTCGCCTGACAGAGCAACCGCCCGCATTTACAGTTCATTACCTACTGTTTCATGTACAAGTGTGTCATTTTTGTTTTTATGATGTTAAAATAAGAATAAATACAATCAAAAATTTATAGAACGACCGTTGAAAAAATACGGTGGATCACACGGCCATATAAAATTGGTAATAATACATACGCGTAGCAATAATGTCCACCATAAACAAGATCGAACCAAACATGTGAAATCGAATACGACACTGACACAGACACAACTAGTATGAAATAAAACCATTCAATTTTTGGTGGAGAGCTAAAAATGTCTACTGTAGAGTATGGTTTTCATTGAGTAACCGTGTGTAGTGTGACGGTTGTCATGCACGCATGGTTTCGGTTTAACACGGGTCAAGTTGTAGATAT